CCTGCTTTGTGCAGACCCCGTGGATCGCGGCATGTCGCAATCCACAAACTGAAGGACCGGAGGAACGAGGTGCGAGACGGGGACCTATCCGTGTCCGCCGCCTAGGTACCGGCGTGGTCATGTAGAAATTCCCGCCTCGGAGGAGGAGGCAGAGGGAGGGGGAGCAGAGAGAAACGGGATCTGGAGCAGCAGCGGCGCTGGAATCCCACGGGGCCCCATCGGCCACCCCGACAGCATCAGACAGCGGCGCGAGAAGCAGCGGGCGAGGGTCGGGGTCCACCAAGGGGGGGGGGACCCTGAGGTTTGGGGGGGGTGAGTTCGATCCGCTGGTGCATCGAATTTCCGAATCGACGATGCCCCCGCGCGCCCCGGTGGTCGACGCCTCTCGGGTTCCGACGGCGGCCGGAGACCTCGTTTTGCATAGCTTTTCTGCGGTTCGATGCGCCAGCTGACCGAACTCCCCCCCCTGTGCCCCCCCCGCTTTTGCGAGGTCCCGAGAGGGAGCAAGGAGAAGGATAGTGAAAGCACAGGCCGCATCACTCGCGAGGAAGGGCCCCGCCCCCGCCCCAACACGGCCGCCCGCCATAGTCTTGGGCTACGAACGAGGGGCAGGATCCGTCAGCCTCGATTCGGGCTCTCGGATCGGTTCGACACGTCCCAGAGGAGATCCGACGGCCCGAGCAACTTTGGAGCGGCGAGATTTGGGCTGCTTTCGGCCTGCGGGGGCCCTCGCCGGGCCCCGGGACCGTCAGCAAACCGACGCAGGGCGAAGGACCGGCTACGTAGCACCCCGCACTTGCGGATAAGAGTGGGGGGACGGGCGCGGGCGACGCGGGCGTCGTCGAGCCGGCGGACCTCGTGGCCTCCCTTCCCTGTCGATGGCGCCCTCCTCCTCCTCCTCCTCCTCCTCCTCCTCCTCCTCTTCCTCCTCCTCCTCCTCATATGTGATGAGTGGTCCGGACCTTCGGGGCCCACGCCTCGGAGCATTGGAGCGGCCAGATGTCTGGGGTGCGCCGGATCGGGCTTCACATCGGCGCAGCGTCGAAATCACATCGGGCCGGCTGCGCCGGCATGCGCAGCAAGAGCAGGAGCGGAAGGGAGAGCGAGAACGAGAGCAGAGGGAGGAGCGCGGAAGCCGAAGGGAAAGAGAGCCGAAGGGGGAGCAGAAGCGGAAGCGGAGAGAGAGAAAGAGAGAGAGAGAGAGAGCGAGAGGAGCGAACGCAGCAGGAGAAGGAGGCGACAGAGACGGGAGGGCGCGCGCGACAACGACATCATGCAAGCAACGAACCGCGCTGGAGATCGTCGGACAACCGAGCCGAACCGGCCAGAGTCCATGTCGGTCGGATCGATGGGATCGAGATGGACCCAGACAGGAAGGGCTCCCAGACGTGCGACGCCTTGATTACTTCCACACGGGGCCCCCGGAAGTCCCGGCCACTTCCCCAGGACCAGTTCTTCATCCCGAGCCGTCCCTTGACGGCCCCGAGGCCCCGCGAGGGTCCCCCGCGGCCGAACTTGGGCCAGAGAACCTCCCGTCCTGATTTTTGTTACGACGCGATCGCGTCCCCAAAGATCCGACGTCGTGATTGTGTTTGATACGGGGGCCCTGGAAGTCTCGGCCAATTCCCCAGGACCGGTTTTCCATCCGGAGTCGTTCTTTGACGGTCCCAGAGCCTGGTAAGGGCCTCTAGAGCCCGACAACGGCGAAAAACCTCCGTCTTGATCTGTTCCATACGCTGGATCTCTGGGTCTGGGTCCAAAAGTGTGGGTAGCGAACCAGCTCATATCATTAGCAGGTTCTCCTGGAGCCTCCCGGCGCCAGATGCGCCGGTGCCTCGAGGAGAACAAAAGAAGCGGCCGGCGGCGGAGCCGAAACCAGCTGCACGCAGCAGACTTCGTAGACACACTCCTCCTCCTCCACCTCCTCCACCTCCTCCTCCACCTCCTCCTCGTCCTCCTGTCCCTCCCTCCTCCTCCTCCCTCCTCCTCCTCCTCCTCCTCCTCCTCCTCCTCCTCCTGCTTCTCCTCCTCCTCCCTCCTCCCTCCTCTTGATCCCTCCTCCATCCTCATCTCCTCCTCCTCCTCCTCCTCCTCCTCCTGGTCCTCCTCCTCTTCCTCCTCCTCCTCCTCCTCCTCCTTCTCCTCCTCCTGCTCCGTATGGGGCCCCGTATGGGGCCACGGAGCGTGTGAGGGGTGTGCCGACATGGGTGCGGTGGGCGCATGCGAACGCAGCCACTGGAGACTTCGGTTGCGCCCCCTATGGAGCCACGTGTGCGGTGGGCGCATGCGAACGCAGCCACTCGGTCATTCGATGGAGCATCTACGTGGCCACGAAACGTGTGAGGGGTATGCCGGAATGGGTGCGGTGGGCGCATGCGAACATCGCCGCTGGAGCTGTCGGTGGAGCTCTTTATAGGGCCACGAAACCTGTGAGGGGTGTGCCAGACTGGGTGCGGCGGGCGCATGCGAGCGCAGCCACTAGAGCTCCCTATGGGTCCACGGAACGTGTGCGGGGTATGCGGATACAGGTGCGGCGGGCGCATCCGAATGCAGCCACTGTGTCCGTGGAGCTCCCGAAACGCGTCAGGGGTGTGTCGAAATAGGTGCGGTGGGCGCACGTGGACACTGCCACTGGAGCCTTCGGTGGAGCTCCTGGTGGGGGCACAAATCGTATGCGAAGTGTGTCGAGTGGTGCTGCGCATGCGAACGCAGCCACTGGGGCCTTCGGTGGAGCTGCCTGTGGGGCCACGAAACGTGTGAGGGGTGGTATGCCGGAACGGGTGCGGTGGGCGCATGCGAACGCAGCCACTGGGGCCTTTGGCCTTGGCGGAGCTCCCCGTGGGGCCACATAACGTGTACGGTGTGTGCCGAAATATGTGCGGTGGGCGCATGTGGACCCTGCAAGTGGAGCCTCCGGAGGAGCCTCCTGAAACATGTGACGGGTGCACCGAAGTCGACACGCGGATGGCAGAGGCAGGGATGGGATGAGGGAGGGGGCACCGGGGAGCGGAGGAGGAGAACGCGGGGCGCAGTCTCTTCAAAACGAAGGCCCAGCACCACGGGATGGTTGGGAAACACATGCCAGACGGTTTTTGTTTTTGGGTGGGTCGGCGCCCCAGGTCGCAGGAAGGGCGCGGGGCACTGTGCCAGGAGAGACGGCTGGCACCATGGCCCGCATCCCTTACATGTACACCATCGCACCGGGCGAAAAAGGCTGCATCGCACACCCCGTGAAAACTACACGGGACGGGGGTCTACGCAAACAGGCAGCTCGCCGGAAGACAACGGTCTACTTAACAGCCGTACTCCCATGGATGGGCTCGACAAAGGCCTCATAATCACCATAGGCATTGATGACCTATCGCGCCGGCGCCGCCTGCGCCTGGCACTCCGTGCTGCGCGGCGACGGAGCGGGAGAAATGGCAGCAAGCAGACGGTGGCGAAAGAGCGCAAGCGGGAGGCCAAGGCCGGCGGGGCGAAGGAGGCGGGAAGGGACACAGAAAGCGGCGAGGGAGAAGGGGAAGACAGCGCAGAGGAGCCGCATCGACAAGGGATGCAGACGCGGCGTTCTACTGAAGAGCGCTCGGGAAACGATCCTGAAGGAGCGCGGCGCCGGATGGCGGGCCGTGCGTGCCCCAACACTACACGCAGCGGCGGCGGGCGCCCACAGCCTGTAGGGAGCAGCGCCCTTGCGCGAAAATGCAGCCACAGGCGCCTAGGGGGGGCTCCTGTCCTACTGGGCTCCGACGCCAGCCGTGCTCAGCTTCTCCACGTGGCTCTCGTCGCGCCACGCCGAGGTGACGGTCTTCAGCTGCGTGAAGAAGTTGACCCCCGCCCTGCCGTAGAAGTTGTAGTCTCCCAGGATCGAGGCCTTGTTCCCCGTGAAGGAGAACATGGGCAGCGGCACCGGTATGGGCACGTTCACCCCGACCTGGCCCGCCTCGATTTCGTGGACGTACTTCCGCGCGGCAGACCCGCTGCGCGTGAATATGGCCGTGCCGTTGCCAAACGGGTTCGAGTTGACGAAGTCGATCGCCTCCTGGTAGGTCTCCACCTGGACGCAGCAAAGCACTGGCCCGAATATCTCCTGGTCGTAGATCTGCATGCCCTTCTTGACGTCGGTGAAGACAGTGGGACCGACGAAGTACCCATTCTCGTAGCCCTGTGCCACTGATGGGTTGCGGCCATCCAGCAGTAGCTTCGCGCCCTCGTCGACGCCAGACTGGATGAGACCCTCGATCTTGCTCTTGGCTGCCGCGGAGATCACGGGACCGACGTCCACCGATGTCCCGCTGCCTGGGCCGACCTTCAAATTGGAGGCGGCCTCGGCGATCTTTGGGATGATCTCCTTGGAGCTGCCCACGAACACTGCCACGCTGAGAGCCATGCACCGCTGGCCTGCTGCGCCGCAGCTTGCGCCGACCAGCTGGTTCACAACGCTCTCGGGGTCGGCGTCCGGCAGCACCACCGCGTGGTTCTTGGCGCCCAGGTTGCACTGCGCCCTCTTGCCGTTCTTGCCCGCGCGCTGGTGGATGTGGGCCCCCGCGGCGTTGCCGCCGACGAAGGAGACGGCACGGATGTGCTCACTGTCGCAGAGGAAGTTCACCGTGTCGTGCGCCCCGTGCACCACGTTGAGAACCCCTGGCGGCAGGCCGCTCTCGGTGGCCAGCTCGGCCAGCATCATGGCGGTCAGGGGCACGCGCTCCGAGGGCTTCAGCAGGAACGCGTTGCCGGCCGTGCAGGCGGGGGGGAACATCCACAAGGGGATCATCGCCGGGAAGTTGAAGGGCGCGACCCCGGCGCACACTCCCAGCGGCAGCCGGTAGGAGTAGACGTCCACGCCCGTGGCCACCCCGGGCAGCGTCTCGCCCTGCAGCATCGAGGGGATGCTGGTGGACATCTCCACCACCTCCAGGCCTCTGAATATGTCCCCCTTCGCGTCCGCGATTGTCTTCCCCTGCTCCTCAGTGAGCATCTTCGCGAGCTCCCCGGTCATCTCCCGGATAGCCCCCTCGTACTTGTGCATCACCCGAGCGCGGACGCTTGGCGGCGTGGTTTTCCATGTCTTGAACGCCTCTGCGCACGAGTCGGCCGCTTTCTTCAGCTCCTCGGGCGTACACTGGGGCGTGCGGGCGATCAGCTTCCCCGTGGCGGGATTGTGGACGTCGAAAAACGTGGTGCCTTCGGATTGGACTGCCTTCCCATCGAGGAACATGGGCACCACCTTGGCGCCAGAAAAGCCCCTCGAGGCGGCCGCCGCGGCGCCTCTGGTCGGTTGGCTACCGGCCATCGTGCGCCGCAGCGAGGAGCGCATGGTCCCACGACCGAGCTGGGGCGGCCCCGCGGCGGATGTGGGCTCCGGGTGCGGCTGGATGTGGCCTGGTGCCCTGAGGCAAGATGGCTAGAGAAACGCGCCAGACGTTTTTGTTGGCTGTTTTCGGCCTCTGGGAAGGGGTCCAGACGTCTGGGAGTCCAAGTCGTGGAAAAATCATGCCGTCGAGGGCCTGGGATTCAGCTCGCGGTCTCGCCCGTGCACGTCCAACCTCCTCCTGCCGCTGCTGCTGCTGCTGCTGCTGCTGCTGGGGGTGCTGCTGCACTACCTGAGACTCACTGCCGTCGATTGTCCCTGACCGCGCCGCCTACCCCCCGCTCCCCAGCGGCTGCCTGCCATCACCCAGCTGCTTGCAATCTCGCCACTGCCTGTCTTGCCTCTGCCTTCTGCTTGCGCCCCTCTGGCGGGCGCCAGTGCTGCGGATTGGGAGGGTGTTGTCCAAAGTGGGCGCGGTGCCGCCATGCGAACCCTGCCATTGGGGCTTTCGGTGGAGACCCCTGTGAGGCCACGAAACGTGGTGCGTGTGGGTGTGCCGAAATGGGTGCGGCGCCTCCGTGCGAACGCTACCATTTCGACCTGCGGTGGGGCTGCCTCTGGGGCCACGGGAAACGTGTGCGGGTGCGCGAAATGGGCGCGGCCTTCTGTGGAGCTCCCTATGGGGCCACGAATCGCCTGTGAGGGGTGTGCCGAAATGTGTGCGATGCCGCCATGCGCACCCTGCCCTGCCATTCGGGCTTTCGGTAGAGGTCCTTATGGGGTCACGAATCGCGAGAAGGGGGACTCGAGGGATGGCGGAGGCATGGACAGCAGGAGCAGGAAAAGGAGAGGGTCGGGTCGGATCGGCCTTCCACGAAAGCAAAGTGAATGACCCTGACAGCCTTGGGGGTGCAGAGCAATATGTAGCCCCTCAGCCCAAAGCACCCACGAGCGGAGGGAGAAGGGGGAGGGGGGAGGGAGCGCTGTCTTCTCAAAACGAGGGCCCAACACCACATGGTGGTTGGAAGATCAGCACAAAGGAGGGTTTGGGGGCATGTTCTGCCGGGCCCCGGGACCGTCAACGACTCGGGATGAGAAACCGGTCGAGACCTCTGGGGACCCACAGTTCTTGTAAACAGTGAACAACGTCAGAGCCTTGGGGAATATCCGGGGGGCACTTGCTGGATGCACATTCGGAGGCCCTGCGTCCCAGGCCACAGATGGCGCAAGCAAGACCCCTGGCCACAGGTGCATTCATTTCCCGCCCAGGCCGCCCGCGTCAGGTGTATCCAGCTTCCCGGTAGAGGCCTGGAGGTCCCTCCCCGGGACCGATTTCTCATCCCGAGTCCTTTTCAGCGCCCCTCTGACGGGGACTCCAGTAACGGGCACTTTGGCCAGTGACCCGGCGAATCCAACCCTCCCCGATGTGGGCAGCGCTGCAATACCAGAAAGAGGGCCCAAAAGGGCAACTAACTCTCAACAAATCTCCAGCAAGCACCCGTTAGTGAGTCCCCGTGCCGGTGCCGCTGACCTGTGTTCGACGTCCCGGGGCCGGGCGGGCCCCCCCCAAAGGCCGAACACCGCCAAAGACCTCCCGCCGCAACTCGCTTTTGAATTTCTCCTCGCCACGAGGAGAGGTGCGCGACCAACGCAAAAACAAAACCTGGTCTCGCGCGAGATGGCATAGCGACCTGACGCGGTGGCTCGCACGGGCCGCCGGCGCGGCCCGCCACATGGGAAACGAGGGCGCTGGCTCGCGACCCTACGCGGGCAGCTCTCGCGCCAGCATCGGCGCAGTCGACCCGGCCGTCGCCCACGGGGGGGGGTAGAGCCCGCCGCTGCAGGGCCAGCAGACCCCCGACGTCGTGACTCTTTCGCCGCGTCCACCCCCAAGGGCCTCGACCCCTTCCCAGGACCAATTTTGCATCCTGCGCCGTGTTTCGACGGCCCCGAGGCCCAGTGAGGGGAGGAGGAGGAGGAGGAGGAGGTTGTTGGGGACGGGCCTAAAGCCAGATCACCTCCCCGTTCAGCCAAAATCGGAGGCCTCCGAGTCTGACTCGAAACCGCAGTCCGAGGCTCGGAGGGAGGCGGCCCCTAGGTCCTTGACCCAGGGTAAATCCGACTCTGCAAGGCCGAACGAATCCAAAACCTGCTCTCGCGGGGCGAAGCCCTCCGCGGAGCCAAAAGTAGCAGGACCTGAAACTCCCTGGGGGGCCTGGCCATCCTCTTCCAGCGACTGAGCCAAGACCCTCCGCTCGGCGAGGCTCAGGCTCACGTGAGCCCCCAGAGTCAAATTCTTCAGGTCCTTCTTGTACGAGGGAAACTTGCCCTGCCGAATCCTTCTCAGCTGGTCATTAATTCCACCCGTCGTGAATTTGGGCCTGCACAGGCCTTTAGCTCCAGCATTGGGAGCCCCAGAGAAAAACGATCCGCACCGACAGCAAAATTGGATCCTACCCCTGGGGTTCCCAGGAGGTTTTAAGACAGGGCTGGCCAAAAAAGCATGGCCGCTGGCCCGAAACACTTGCCGAGAGAATGAACGCCACTCCTCCCCCAAGTCCGAAGAACCTCCCACCTCCCTTTGATCGTCGCCCAGGGCCTGGCCGAGGGCATCAGCCTCTTGTGAGTGCTGCCACTGGCCATCGCTGCCTGTCGACCTGGGCACAAGGCCCGTTGAGTCACGGGGCCCGTTGGACATCAGCACCTCCACCGATCCAGCCCACCTGCAGGCCTCGCGGGCGAGGCACCTGAGGCCTCTGTACAGGCTGGCCTCTTCGTCGCTGACCCCGTGACACTCGGCTCCTAGTTTGGCGAACTTATCTGCGAGCCCATTGGCCCGTCTTTCCCAAACACTGCTCCTGCCAGCCTCGACATCGGCCGCAGTGGCGTGGCCGAGCGTCTTGAAACACTCGAAATCGCTGAGAGTGAACGAGCTCCACACGGGGCCCCAAAGATGTCCGCGGGGGGCTCCAGGGCCCTCCGCGAACCCAGGGCCCCGAGCCAGCGAATCCAGAGTGCTCTGGCAATCAATATAGCACTGAAACGGGGGAAGACCAACTTGCGTTAGCATATATACAGCATAGTCTTCCCCATCTTTACTAGTTTGCTGCGGGGCCGCACTCAGAGGAACTGGACCGTAGGCCGCCGAGAGCAACTCCCCAAACCTGTCGACCGACACGATACTCCAACCAGCCCGAGTGAGCCCATCGAGGCCCATGTATTTGGCCGACCCGTCCAGGAATAGCAACCCCGTCAATAGCCCCGTCTCGGGCCTCTCGTGCCAGTGAACCGTTTGCGTGGGCTCCTCGACGTCGAAGAGCGAGCGAGGGTGAGGAAAGATGCACCTCGCGAACCTCTCCGCCATGAGCGGCCCGAACTGCTTCACTCTCTGCGCACACCTACACAAGTGAGCACTCGCATGGTCTCGCCGCAGGACTTCATGCGCAGGGCACTCGTACTGACGGTGCCACAAGGTACCTGGGGCCCCCTTGCACACTTGACAAAGATCATCATCGTGGAGGTTGTGAGCATGAAGTCGGGCTTGGGGCCAGTGAACTCCCGAGACCAAACCTCTTAAACATCTCTGATGGTGCTTCCCCCAGGTTTCGGACTTCTCCTTGAACATCCTGGAAATACCATCCCAGAAGATAGGGTAAACAGGTGGCCCATCAAGGCCATTCTGCAAGAGAAGGGCATGTCTATCTGACGCTCGCGCGGCACCTTGCCTGATCATCGTCCTGACCTGCATCGGGGAGAGCCTGAACAAGTCATGCACAACGTTCAAGTCATCTTTGATGGTGTGCTGGTCTACAAAGTCCCAGCCTATGCCCCGCAACGTTAAAAGCGCGACGTCGCTGGGGGAAGACGCTGACCTCCAGGGCTGAGCTGAATTCTGAAACTTGGCGATCGAGACCCTCATGGTATTGGCCAACACCTGAACGTGAGGGACAGCTTCCCAAACAGCAGTCGCCCACATGAAAAGCACGTGCCCCACGTAAACCACCAGAGGGTCTACCTTGGCCCCAAGCCCGTACGTGTACATCCTGAGCCCAACCGAAGCACCTTTAGGGAGCCTGCCTAGGGAACTAGCAGCACCGATACGGAGCCCAGCCATTTTTGTGGGGGCCACCCCAGAGACCGAGGATCCCCAGAGGGCCGATGCCACTGGCCCCATCCTGTGAACCATCCCGATGTCGGCTCCAGCTCCTTGTAGTATCTTGAGCCTCCTGGCCCTGCGCGAAGCACCTGCAAACCTTGAGTTCTGAATACCGATCCTGCGGAGGCCTCCCAAGGTAGCGTTGGTCCCAAGATTCCTCGCCGTGTCGGTGCGGCAAGAGGTGGGGAGGGACCAGGCCTTGGACAGGTGCGCCTCAACCTCCTTCGAGCAAAGGTAGGCACACTTCTTAAACGCCACAGGGAGCTGCAGCTGCTTGAAACTCTTGATCAGAGACTCTACTCCACCAGCCAGTTGGGCCGCCACCTGATGCTTGGGCCCGCAACACTGAACAGTGATGTCGTCCACCACATTACGCACATACAACAAGTTCCTGCTCTCACGGGCCTCCAATAGCGGTCCTAGTAGCAACATCTTGGCGAAAGTCGTAGCCCCCGAGCACCCAGCCACGATCGCCCCGTTCGATTCGACGACGGCCGACGAAGCTCCCCCGTAAAGAAGCACACGGTAGCCTGCATAGATGGTACAGTACGCTTTGACCAGCCTAACTGGGAAACCAAACCGTTTAGCTGCAACCAGAAGGTCCCCGTGGTTGACATTCTCATAGAACTTAGCCAAGTCCAAGAGAGCCGACGCTGATTCGAAACCTGCTTTACGACAATGCGCCCCGAGTAAGTTGTGGACCCATCCGGCCCTCTCGCACGTTGTGTCGGGCCCTGAGCCCCAGAAAAACTCGTGCACGTGGGACTTTTCCCATGAGCGGCAATGCGGCTGCCTCAAACGGCTCCAGAGCTTCGTGAAAAGGCAGAGCAATCCGATCGGCCTGACCCCTCCCGTTGGTTTGTCCAAGAAAACCACATTGGTCAGGAACATCACGACGGCCCCAGGGTCGACCTCGAAGAGCGTCAAAATCTCCAGAAGCCG